ACTGTGCCTGAGAATATATAGAACAAAAATATTACAGTAGCCCCCAATTATTCATGGTTTCAGCTACCTGCAGTCAACCACAGTCCAAAAAGATTAAATGGAAAGTTACAAAAGTAAACAATTCATAAGGTTTTAAATTACATGCCATTCTGAGTAGCATGATGGACTCTTCCCTTTGTCTACCATATTCACCCCACCTATTCTCATCACATAGGCATTGTATCATCTTTCATCATCCTAAGAAGGGTGAGTACAGCATAGTAAGATATTTTGAGAGAAAGACCATATTCACATTAACTTATCACATATATTGTTATCATTGTTCTATTTTATTAATTGTTGTTGTTATTCTCTTACTGTGCCTAACGTATAAGTTAAACTTTATCATTGGTATGCATATGTAGGGGAAAAACATAGTATATATAGGGTTAGGTACTATCTGCAATTTCAGGCACCCACTAGGTAGGGGTCCTGGAACATACTTCCCATAGATAAGGGAGGACCACTTACTGTACGAACTGTCAACCACTGACCACTGGCACCAATTCAGTGCCAACAGGAACCCCCAATTTGGGAGTGATGTGAAGAAGGAAACTGTATTCAGTGCGAAACCGCTCCATTGTGACACAGCAGAGCTGCGAGGCAGCCCCAGGGCCAGGCCCTGGCAGGCTAGACAGTTCTGCTCTGCTCTCTGCAGGTTTGCGTTGTGCTGTGCTGGCCGGTCTGCTCCACTCTGCTTTGCCTGTGCCATCTGCTCTGGCCTACACCCGTCTGGTCCTCTCTGCTCCGTCCAGACATTTTCCATGTTTCAGCTCAGCTGGAAAACAAACACAGTGCTGTTTTCAGTGGAAAGGGAACGTGTGCTCTCAGAGCTAGAGGGGACCTCTGGACAGAAGTCTCTTTCTCTGGTCCCTGGTTTGTCCTCATGCAAATAAGGCCTCCAAATCCTTGCAGTTTGATTGGTCCAAAAGGCACTGTCCCAGTTGGTCAGAATAGAGCCACTCTGGTTGGTCGGAGCTGCAGAGCTCCAACTGGATGGGGAAAGCCTCAATCCTATTGGTTGAGATAGGACTCCAGGACCGCCTTACAAGGGCTGGCCCAGGTGGCAAAAACAGGGCTGCGGGCAGTTCAGTGCAGGCCTCTCCTTGAAGTGGCTTGTGTGAGAGGCCCCTGTGTGAAAGGGCTGCTGGGCTCCGGCTTTTTGTTGGTTTGTTTTTTGTTTGTTTTTATTTGAGCCCAGTTAGCAACCAGGAGCCCTTCTTTCTCGGGGTTCACATTACTTGCTGAATTGAGTGTAGAACTTCTGCAACTCTTATTTAAATTTGTAACTAAGCAGAACCTTTTAATTCAGATAGTTGATGGATCTACCATTTTACACTAGTTTCATTTTTACACTTGTTCATATTTACCTACTGTTCGTTCTCAACAGCTCGTACCTTGGTGCTGCTGGGCATGGCTCAGCCACTGTGATCTAAAGGTGGAAATCACACGTCACCCACATGGCTGCTCAGAGGGTTAGGAGTCGTGCTGCCTCTGAAGAACTCTCACTGACACGAGAAGCTTGTCTAATGGTTCACATATTTATTTCTGTGGATCCTGAAAAAGATATGGTGTCATGACAGCAGTTCCAACACTGTCCCTGCTATTGGGGAAGGTAGGAGCCACTGAAGAGCCAAGTTCTCCCCTCTCACCTCAGAGCTATCTGCCTCCTGGGGGGACCCTGGCTCTGTGATGGGGGCTCCAGAACCCTGCCCAGGCCAGACCCCCCTCCTCTGAGCAGCACCCTTCACTCCCCTGCCTGCAGGGTGGGGAGACATGTAACCGGAGGCTGCAGACCAGCTGTAGTGTCAGACCTCCTGATTCAGACCAGAGCTGTCAGTCCTGGTCCCTCTCTGACCTCAGTTGCCTTGTCTATAAATTAAGGATAATAATGGTCCCTGTTTTTTCCCTGTGGGTTGTTATGGGGGTTAAAAACAGATGAAATGCTCACACCCTCCCAGGCAAGCCCTTAGTAAATGGTAGCAATGGCTTCTCCAGCCTCCCTGGGTGCTCCTCTGCCTCTGGCCCTTCAGCAGGCAGCGCGCTGTCCCCAAACACCGACACCGCTTTGCAGGAGCACAGGAGGCCACCACCCCATGCGGCCTTCTGGTGGCGCTCTCTTCACCGCCGTCCTTCTGACTCCATGCTGCTGCATTCCCACTCCCTCTCCTCGTCGACCCCGCCTTCGCCTCCATCCCTCATCAAAACAGTATTCTTGGGGAGGCCCAGGAGGGCCTGCACAGAGCAGTGCTGTTGCCCTCCGCGTGGCCTCGCAGCTGTGCCGGGCCCAGGCAGTCTGCCTCTGTTCCTCTGTGATGCTGCTCTCTGCTTGCCTGTCTCCTCCTCCCGTCTGCAATCCTCTTCCTCTATGCCCTTGGCAGTGCTCAGGGCACAGGCCTGGCCCTCTGCTCCACACTCAGACCTCTCCCCGCAGAGTCCATTCATTCTCTCGCCATTCAAACACCTGGCAGCGCCCAGACCTCTCCCCAGAACTCCTGACTTGGATATTCAAGGACCTATTTCATACCTCATTTAGATTATGCTAAATTCACACATCCCAACTGAGCTCTTAGTTAATCCTTCCCAAGTCTCGTTACCGTCCCTTCTGCCCGTGTGACTGAACGGAATGTCCATCCATCTCCTTACTCAGGAGACCTGGGATAGCCATGGTTCCTCCCTCACCTGTTGCACCTCTCATCGAGCTCATTGACAGTTCCTCTGAGTACAAAGTGCATTGCAGGTGCTCTCCACTCTCTCCCACGGCCACGGTCCCAGCCCCGCCAGCGCCTCCCGCCCTGCACAGGCGCTGGCCTCACTCCGCTCTCCTGCTGCAGAGCGATCTGGAAGGTCACCGCATGCTGGCACTTTGTGTAAATCCTGGGGCCAGAATCATCACAGAATAAGCCGAAAACCTAACCTCGACCTGGGGGACTGCACAGCGTGTCACTCCTCACCTCACCTCTGCCCTCAGGCTTCTCTTCCTCTGACCTTGCTCCTCCTCGTCTCAGCGCCTCCGTGGCTACTGTTCCTCTGCTAGAAAGCTCTTCCCGCTGCTCTTCACCTCGCTAGCCCTGACCACCTGTCCTCACCCGAGCCTGCCCTTCCCTTCGTTGCCTCACACGCGTCCCAGAGGTGGGTGTGAGGATGCACGCCTCCCGTGGGGCCCAGAACTGCTAAGGCTACACGTTAGGGCTGCTTTGTTTTCACTGTTTGGTCTGCGCCTGGCACCTTGAGTTCCACACAGGAAGTGCTGAGTCATCTTTGACTGAATGGCCACCAGCTCCTGCCATAAAGTACAACAGGGTGGGAGGTGGCGGGGGAATGGCAGCCAGAGCTCTGGCGCCACAAAGAGGACGTCCATCGCGTGGCCCCAGGTGTGCCGGGTGGTGCAGGGTTGGGGGCATGGTGGCAGCGCTTCTTTGCCAGGTGTGGGAGGCGGGAGAAGGGGCTCCTGCCGGACTTCCCAGAAGAGTTGACGCTCAGGATGAGAATGCGAAGTTAGCACGAGGGTCGGGCGAGGCCAGCCCTCCAGCCCTCCCTTTCTCCTGCCCCTGTCTGCCCCTGCGACAGACCCTACAGAACTTCAGCTTCTAGCCTTGCCCCTGGGTTAATCCAGGACAAGGTCTACAGAGTTATCTGAGGGAGAAGAGAAGGGGAAACTACTAGAAATTGCTACCCTGTGTCTCCTGTTTTCCATTTCCTGCCCTGTACCCACTCCCTGGCTCCACGCCAGCTCCTGCAAAGCAATGGCCCAGAAGTGTTGGTGAAGGGAAGACATCGAAGGAGTTGTTGGGTAGTGGGGAACCTCTGCACCCCAGCATATGTCTTGCTTATTAAAAACAGTGAACATCTTTGGAGGAACGTGGACAACACTGTGCTGTCTGTGATGCCCCCGGTGAAAGGCAGCTTCAGAAAAGCCGGGCTGGAAGAAGACAGATAAGGCCTGACAGGCCTGCATAGGCCCGTGGCTCAGAGTTAGACAGATGTCCCTCGCGCTCTTCCCAGAAGGGGAAGCAGGACCCCTCGGACACACAGGAGGAGCCTCCAAAAAATTTTCCTGTAGAAACTGCGCTGCACAAATGGTTGCAGTCTATATAGAGCATCATGCTATGGATCAGCTATGGATTAAAACAGGTCATAACCACCGTCTGTGAAATTGTTATTAAAGAAAAAGACTTTTTAACTTTCAAGCAACAGATTTACAAATACAATTACTGAATATTTACTAGGTGTCAAGCACTGTGTGAATCACTGTACGTGTGTTGTTATTGCATTTGATCCTTCTGACAACACTGTGAGATAGGCCCATTTTACAGATGAGTAAACTGAGGTTTCCCAAAGTCATACAGTTAGTAGGTGGTAGCCCTGAGAGTCAGACCCACTTTCAGGCATAACTATTTTTAAATTAGAGGCTGCATGTACCTACATACTTTAAGGCAGCAGTTCTCAACCTGTGGGTCGCGACCCTTTTGGCGGTCGAACAACCCTTTCACAGGGGTCGCCTAAGACCATCCTGCATATCAGATATTTACATTACGATTCATAACAGTAGCAACATGACAGTTATGAAGTAGCAACGAAAATAATTTTATGGTTGGGTCACAACATGAGGAACTGTATTTAAAGGGCCAGAAGGTTGAGAACCACTGCCTTAAGGCCTCTACCCACCTCATTTTTTCACTCTCTTCCATCACTATACATTTGTTTAACCTTTTTGGAAGCTTTCCTTTTTTTCCCCTTTGAGCATTTCCCTAGTCTTAAATTGAAGCGGAAGCAGATTCTGACTTACATTATTTTGTAAATACATACTTGGCCACTATTCATTGATACTATAAATATTAACTGCTGCTATGACCATGAGGAAAAGAGTCACAGATTGGATTCATTTTTGCATTTTGAACTCTCTTAATCTCCTTTTTTCTGTAACCCGATTCTATTTAAAATTTCTTCCCTCCTGAAAGGAAGAAGATTTCTCTCCCCAAGTCAGCGGTCGTCTGCCTCTGGCTTCGACACCTTCCCAGCCTTGAAAAAGCAACGCTGCATCTTTTCGAAAAGCTAATCTTCAGTGAGAGAAATTCTCTGAGAAGGACCGAACGCTTCATGAAAGAGTCACTGCTGGTACGTGCCTGACTTTGGTGAGGAGAAAAATCCTTAAAGAAGATGCTGAGTATCATTTATCATTTCATTTAATCAGAGCAAGGGGAAAAATACAGGGTGTTCCCCCAAAATGTACACACCTTGAATCATTATTGATTCCAATGGATTAAATATGAAAAGAAAGAAACATCAGTTGAGCTATCAAAAAATGTATGTGTATACATTGTTTTGTTTTGTTTTTGTTTTTTAATTATTTTTTTATTGCTTACAGTATTACATAGGGTATTACATATGAGTCCCTTTTTTCCCCCGCCCTTGACAATCCCCTGGCCTACATTGTTTATATACCCCACATAAACAAAAGAGCAACTGCTACCTTTTGAAATAATGATGTATTTACATTTTATTTTAAAAATACCTGACATAGGAATCTTTTCTGCGTATTTAGAGCATATTTCAAAAATATGGAGAGATTCAAGATTTATTGGATTGCTGCACCTTATAAGGCATATTCATAAGACCTGACATGTGGACAACAACTTTTTAAATACAGTATTTCTTATTTCCACATGAAAAATAAGTTTTAAAAATAAAGATTTTAAGAACCAGAGGAGGAATCAATTAACAATGAAAAACTTTGAAAAATAAACATTTAGCTCTTCACTAGAGGGAAAAAAAACACTCAAGAGACACAAAACAGAACTCCAGGAAAATGGCTTAAACAATGAAAACAACTAAGAATTTTGTAAGTTTTCTTTGGGCATAAGCCTGCCAGGCTTGAAAGCTGGCTCTGTACAGTGGCCGCCTTGTTCTCAGGCCGCAGGCCTGGGCGGTGAGGCCGGGGCGCGTCAGGCGGTCTCAGAGCCTGGCCTGTGGCAGGCAGCTCCAGAGGAAAGACTCGTGCCCCCTGAAGAAACAGTTCAGAAACTACGGGAGGTGCCGAGCTCAGGGACCCCGGTGGCTCTACAAGCTTTCTCCCCAGCTCTGGGAACGGGGGATACAGCACAGAGGCCGCCTCCTTTGTGCAGATGGGAACGGGAGTTCACAGCTTAGGTTGGTGGCCAGGAAACTGGGAGTGTTCATCCTCCCCAGGAAGCTGGGACTTGGGAGGTGAGACCCTGTGCAAGGCCTGGTCTGAGGTTGGCTGAGTTTTCGCAGCGCCCATCTCTCAGGCACTTTCTCTTTGTCAAAACATTTGGAACATCCTGTTTTCTTTCTTTGTCTTTCAAATTGGAGGCTGCATAAGGGAATCATAATTGAATCAGCTGCCCTCTTCCTCTATCTGATTTCTCCCTTTAGGTCCCAGTCATTCCCGCCAGCGGGTGGGTGTGCGTGCCCATGTCCATGCTCAGCTTTGTCCAGTGTCCTTGGCTCCTCTCTGCCTTCACCTTGAGGGTCCTCTCAGGTGGCTGAGGGTACAGTCATCAGTAGCCGTGCTGCTGTCATCCATAAGTTAGGTGGCCCAAAGTGAGCCCAACTGATTTGGAAACTTAAATTGTTTGATTTCAGGGAGGCGGGTGGGGGCGGGGGAGAGAAAGAAGGAAGGAAGATAGGTATAAAGACTGGGAGAGCCCTGCCTGGTGTAGCTCGTCTGGTTAGGCCTCGTCCCGTGCACCAGGAGGTTGCCAGTTCAGTTCCCGGTCAAGAGCACATGCTCAGTCTCCGGTAAGGGGTGTGCAGGAGGCAGCCATTCATTCTCACATCGGTATTTCTGTCTCTCTCTCTCTCTCTCTCTCTCTCTCTCTGTAAAAAATCAATAAAATATATTTAAAAAAAAAATTGTTTCAGGAATTGTGTACTTCAAAGATAGAAGATATAATTCCTGTGCTTGAGGGTTTTTTCTTTTCTATCAGTCACCCAAAGCCCCTACTAAGAATCAAGCCCACAACCCAGCATGTGCCCTTGACTGGAATTGAACCCAGGACCTTTCAGTCTGCAGGCCACCGCTCTATCCACTGAGCCAAACCAGCTAGGGCTCCTCCTCTCTCTTGAAAAATCAATAAACTATTCTTTTTAAAAATGTTTAAAAAGAAAAAGAAAACCAACTCTTTGGCTTAAAAAATAAAAGTCTGAGAGAACCCAAACAGGTGTTGTTTTTTAAGGGATTTCACCATTCAGAAGACTTCATGTTAAGGTGAAAAATAAGAATGTGCCTTATATAAAAATAATTACAATAAAATTCAAAGTAAACAAAGGCTTTAAGAAGCCCCCAGCACCCCATTCCAAGCACTACCTTCATTATCAGGGAATCTCTGTTTCTAATCCAAATGAACTTGCTCTAATTTAATTTTCTCTGGTCCTTTTTCAGTGGCTATTTCCTTGCTTTCAAGTTCTTTATTAAGTTTGCTTGTCTTTTCTCTGTAGAAGAATTCCAGTTCCATTGAATTTTCTGATTTGGCTTGAATCTGCACCCTTTCACTGGTCCTTGTGGTGGTTTTCTGAACCATCTCCATGCCCCTCTTACCTGTGGCCATCAGGCCTGAGCAACACTTCCGCACGCACAGATACTGCAGCGAATGGGGAGAGGGAAAGCAGGCACTCCCATAAACACCGCATTCTGTAACCTTCCGGCTCCTGTTTATCGTTTAAGATAATCTTCCCCAGTGCAGCAGCTTGGAAGTCAGTTGATGCACAGAAGCATTTATCGGATGATGTGTAGAGAGTCAGAGCTTCCATCATGGTTAAAGGGAAATTCCAGAGGGTGTTATTTGGCTTAATTTATTGTGGCATTGGCAGGATGTGACCTCTCTGTGCCTTGTGGGTCAAGGAGGCAATGGCAGCACAGAGCTGATTGGAGGGGCGGCCCTCCTCAGCCATCCTGGCCTGCGATGCCAGAAAACCAGGCCGGCTGGAATACGCGTGTGACGTGGCCGAGTGATTAGAGGGTAACCTGAAGAACATGCTTCCTAATTGCATCATCCGACTCATGTATCGCCGCGCAGCATCTTGGTGCAGTGACAGGCCCGTGCGGGGTATGAGGGGCCTGGGAGGCTCAGGTAGCCAGGCGGCTGCGCTTGCCTCCGGAAGAAATGTGATGCCTATTACATTAGAGTTGGATTCTGAGAGTAATTAGAGTGTGATGGTCTACGTAACTCGTGTTTTATATGGAGCATTGTTAATTATGTTTCCGTCTCTCGGGACTATGCAGAATTAGCCCTGGAAATTCTGTAGTTGCCAAAATGTTGGGGGGAAAGTGCGATACAGCTTGTACAAAGTGAAATGATCTCCCCAAATGTTCTTTGACCTTTAGGAGACTCAGAGGCCTGATATGTTCCATTAAGACTGTGAATAATAAGGCACTAATTAAATGTCACCTAAATTCTAACTGCATGTTTATATGCATATATGACTTCTAAAGTAAAAATAAATTCACTTTTGAGGCTCACCGCTAGGCTGGACGGCCCCAAGTACATGGCCACCTGTCACAGTTTGTGGCTCCTACTAGCAAGTAAGTCACGGTATTAAACTTAGTTTGTCATTTACTGTGCAGACTGACACTTTTTAAAAGCAGATGGTCTTTCCTAGCTGAAATCAATAAAAGTATTTATTTTTTAAAAGTCCTCTCTGATCTCAATAAAAATATATTTTAAAAGAATAAGAAATAAAATCAGATGGTCTTGTGTTTCCCGTGACAGAACAGGCACTGGGAGACCATAATGTGTAGCTTCCGACCTGACCTTAAAGACTGATTTCACCAAACTCAGTGAAAGGCACTGGATAGTGATGCAGCTTTCTTGACGTCTGGTTTCCAGAAAGGCTATTGTTTATACCCCACATTTGAATGGGAAGTGCTGGCTGAGTAGCAGGTGGCACTGTGCCTAGCTGCCCTGCTGCACGCCAAGGCCGAGAGGTACCCTGGCTTCCATGCCCTCCCTCCGCTCCTCGCTGGCAGGCCTCCCACACCACCTGCCTCACGCTGGTGAGCGGAGCAGCCCCTTCACCTCCCCAGGACAGACTTGCCCACCAGAGTACAGGGTCTCAGGAGAGTAGAGAAGGGGAAAGGAGGCAGGGGTGGGTTTTGTTTTTGTTTATTCAGATTTTAAATTAAATAATACTCCTCAAAAAAATACTCCTTGTATTCTCTCCTACCTGAAAGTCTTCACAGCTCAGTTAAAATTAGTTCTTTATCCCAAGTATGTCTTGATTAAACTGGGGCGGGGAGGAGTGGGGAGGGGGGAGAGGGATTAGTTCTTCATCTAATAAGAGCTTAAGAAATAAAAAAACATGTCACCTTGATGTTAGGTAGGATACCTTCTTGTCTTCATCCTCCAGAGAGTAATGGTAGCCACTTCAGAAAAAAAAAAGAACTCCCTTTACACAAAATTCCAAACACAATTTCCCTTTAATAAAAGATCATGTTGAATTTAGCTCCACATCCTGGGTTATGTCAGTTGTCTGTGCTTAAGTAATTCTTACTAATGCTCTAGGGTTCTCTTTTCCTGATTTTTCATTAGCAGTCTTTTAAGCATTTCTTTTCTCAGTTCTTTAATGTGATACATGTAATTTAAGAAATGCTGAAGTAGATAATTTAGCAGTGGTCCAGTAGGGAAGTGCGGTGGCGGCCTATGCTTTTGTCTGCCTCTCCCACAGTAGTTGCACTTCCCAGTGTCCACCTCAGGGGGGCACCAGATCCCCCAGCATTGTTTCTGGGAAGAAAAAGGCACAGATTGCAAATTCTGTTTTCACTGTTGGGGATGAAGGACTTTTCAACCAGAGATGAAGGGAGAGAGAAAAATTAAAAATAAATAATAAAAACAGGGCAAGGGTCGACCTGGGAGTCATTGCCACTAAGAGGCTGAGGAGCTGTCTGCCCGCTCAGGCTGCACCAGTTCACTGGGCAGAGGCCACTGGGCCAGGCTAGGAGAGGAGCTTCAGACTTGAGGGGTTTTGTTGAGCATCTTGAACGCATGCCTGTGTCTGAATGCTCTGAGAGAACACGGGTAAATTTAAAACACAAAAGTACATTTGGTACTTGTTAAGTTTTTTGGGTTTTTCTTGAAGCCTAGAAATGACAGATTTAT